CTCGGGGATATCATGTTTTGTTTCACTTAATTGTATTTTATTTTTTAAATGAAACCCTATCAGTATTCTGGAAAATCTGAACCAAGGGTGGCAAAGAGTCGCACCAGGCCATAAGGAGGGTCCAAGGTTACTTCTGCAGGCCCTGCCCATGGATTTCTTTTTTCCACACAAACAAGATGGCCTGATACTCCTAGAAATATTCAGGGACTGTGATTTACCTTTTCAATAGGCTCCACTCTCACGCTCCCTTAACACCATACTTATATAACATATTACCAATTCTTCTAAATTCTAAGTAACCCTTTAGCCAGTTCTAGTTTCTCGAGGTCATTTCTGGGAGTCTGTGCAGTCCCAAGAGGATGCCAGGGGCAGAAAACTGGGACTTGGTCCTGCCAGGGTTGCCCTTTCCTGATTTAGACTTTAAAAATGTACAGCCACACATCGTCAACTGGGATTACACCCTGAACAGCAAAATGCCTTATATGTTTGGATACAAAGCCAATGGAAAAGCCACCCTTATGTTTTAATTCTTGCAGAAGCAACCACAGGCAATACCATGGCCCCAAAATAGAGGAAAGCAAGATCCTGCTGACAACTGAGCAACCTGTTCCAGTTCGGTTATATCAGGGAAAGAAAACATCTGGCCTCCCCTAAGCATTGGACTTCAGCTCCTACAAGGCTTAACCAGCAATGACTAATAGTAAAACATTATGGGAGCTGGGATCAAGCTGGAAGAGGGCAACAGAGGGCAACTCTCATGCTAGAAGCTAATTCCCATCTGTATACTAAATCTCCCGAGGAACTGGGAAGAAAGGCTTCACAACACTCCATTTACAGCCCTTTTTAAAAATCAGGACTAGCCAGAGATGGGGGGGCAGGGGAGGAGCAGAAAAGGGGCTAGGCATGCCTGATGTTCCTGCCTGTGAAGGAGCAGTAGATCCAAAGGAGAAAGAACAGTGAGCCGTCCCCTCAGCTAGAGGCGTCTGAGCGGGGGAGAGATATAGAAGTAGGGAAGACAAGAGAAAGTGAGGAGTTGAATGTAGAGGAGGGGAAAAGAAGGGAATCAAAGGGGAAAGAGGAGAAGACTGAAATCTGTCTAGTGGAAGAGAGAGAGGGAGAAGGGGAAGAAAGATGCCCGCGTGGGAGGAGGAGATAGGGGAACAAAGTGGGGGGAGACAGTTCAATATACCAAGGATGGAGAGAGAAGGAAGGAGGGAAAGAAAGAGAGGGCGAGAGGAAAAGACAAATATTGTAGAACGAGTAGGTTGTTAGAGGACTTCCCTAATTTGAAGGTAGGAGGATTGCTACTTGATCCAGACAAATCTAAAGACAACATCGGCTGAAGCCCTAGAATGGACGGTCGTGGATTTTCTGAGGAGACAAGGTCACTCGAGGAGGAGGGTGATTTGGCCAGTCCCTTCCTTCAACCATCCACCACTGTAGGGAGAATGGGGCAGACACACCTGTTGTGGGACAATATATCAAAAAAATAAAATAAATAGGCCGCCTGGAGTGGTTGTCTCAACCAGATGGGTGGGATACAAATCAAATAAATAAAATCAATAAAATAAATAACGTGCGGTCAGGAGTGCTCCACTGAGGAAGCCCACTGATCGGGAACATTTTGGGCCAGCCCCTCAATGAACCTTGTCAATTTACAAACAGAGTTATTGTCCTCGCAATTTTGACAGTTACCAGATCTTAGATAGAAGTTTTAGTAGATTCACCCAATGTTAAATTAAATCAATCTGTTAATGTTCAAAAAGAGACTCAGTTGTCATTTCCCGCCAAAAAAGAGGAACTGTTCCAGGTCTTTAACGAACCCAGTCACAGCTGTCTAGGGTGAATGAGAACCACAAGTTACCAACGCCAGTTGTAAACTAGAAAGAAAGAAAGAAAGAAAGAAAGAAAGAAAGAAAGAAAGAAAGAAAGAAAGAAAGAAAGAAAGAAAGAAAGAAAGAAAGAACAGTGTGAACCAACGTTTGGACTAATATGATCATGTCAGTGGATGCACTCATAGTTTTTAGGTTTTGAAAGGATTTGATTGATCTCTATCATACCATTAACCTGAACTTCACTGAAGACCAAGGAAAACTAAAATGGTATTAAATAATGTGCCCCTAATGTTTGTTTTTCAAATGTGAAAAAAGCAAGACACAACCAAGCTGCCTTCTCACATGCAGTCAATAACGGCAACCACTGCAAATGCCCTATTAACATCCCTGTCCTCCTCAAAGCTTATCAAAAGAAGCCTATGCCTTTGTAACATCAAAGTGTGGTGTTTGCTCCGAGGCCAGTTTAGTTTGCTTGCTATTTGATGAGAGGGTGCCACTAATTGCTGTTGTCATTATGCCATTCTCTCAATGTCAACCACTGTGGATCGCGCGGCAGAACCCCGAGGGAGCAAGGAAGGGGGACTTACCCAAACGCAAGCGCCTGTGCGTAAGCAACACCCAGGCAGCTTCCGAAAAAAAAAAAAAAATAGAGTTTGGCAAACTTCGCGTCCGGCCGTGGAGCGCACTTAAGCCGAAAGGAGGCGCAAAAAGGGAAGCAGGAGAGCGAGAGGCGGTGCAAGAAAGACAAACTCACTCCCTCACTCTCCTAGGGGGGGGGAGAGGGGGGTTTGCAGCGGCTGAGAAGAGTGGGAGGCCTCGGACGGCGCCGGCTGCTTTCCGAAGCAAG